CACACTCAAAGTTACGCATACACGAAACTCACACTAACTGATCCTCGTCGGCGTGCTCCATGAGACTGTATTCCGTGGTTGGGAAATGAGGGCTTATGGCTCGTTTATGGGCAGTCGAGTCTGATGGACGCAGAGATGTCTGAGACAACATTTGTCGTGGTGATAGTGAACCACCTGGTATTTTTCGCACATCAATAACCTTAGCATCTACCATACTGCTGGCTGGAGACAAGTCACTAAAAAGTAAGGTGGAGCTTTCTGGTTCGGACACCTGCCTTCTAAGACGCGATCTTCGATCTCGTGTGAGAGATGTTCTTCCGTTACTTGTGGTTGTTACGGGTATGTGACGACCATGGTCTGCCACATGGGATGGTAGAACACCGACTAGAGTCACCGATGGTAATGGAAGCGATCTCCCAGAAGTATTATACCTCTCCAGTGGATAATAGGGTTTACTCTGAGGTCCTGTTATGGAAGAGAACGAACCCGATGCACTGGTTACCGTCAAACTAGTCATTGGATAGATAATTTCTTCTGTAACTATGATTCGCTCCCGGGACCAAGATCGAAGAAATTCCTTTTTATGCTGTTGCCTCTGCACTATTGTCTTATTGTCTCCCGACTGAGGCTTTCTTCGGATTTCTAAGGTATCACGCATGATTTGCCGGATGGTGAAGACTTCTTTAACATCCCGCATGCATGTGGAGGAGCTAGACTTGAGTCTAGGTGAGAGGTATCCCGAATTTGTAAATGGAGATAATCCATTATCTTGAGAAGCATACCGAGTGGCTAGAGGTCGTTGGGCTTGATCTGACGCCTTCCATTCGTTGCTGTGTTGACGTACACTAAGTGATGGCGCGGTAACGGTTCTTGTTGCCTTTTTTCCCAAAGAAATGCGATTCAAATTTTCTGTTGGCGAAACTGTAGTCATTCGGAAGTTTTACATGTAATTAACATTGTTGGTACATTGAGGAGGTTGTCTACAGATCACACCAAACGGGCACAACCATATGCGTGCCCCATACTGGGAAATACGATGTGCACACACCAACATCGCCGTTGGATATCTGTCATGCTGGGCCACAGAAGCACCATTCGACCAATGAAAACGCAGGAAAGGACAGCCAATAGGATGAAGGCAGGGCAGCGTACGTGCATTAGGACGCTGTTGAATTCGCAGACCCACTTGGGCTTCCTATGGGGGCAAAAATATGTCCGCGTGCATCATAACCCATATTTTGTTTGCTGCCAATAACAAGTATGCACACTGGCGAACAAAATTGCTTTCCATTGCGCAAAATAAGCTAGGATAGTATTAACACTTCGTAAATGGTGAATATGCGAAACAGGATGTCACGTAAACTGAGGAGGACACATCAGTCATGCGATTCCTTTAGTCAAATTTCTAAAAAGCAAAGTTGTAATAAATAAGCATTTGTGTACTTGTCG